TTTAGTTTATTAATTATTGTTATTATATATATATATATATATATATATATATATACACATATACATACATACATACACACATATAAAATGATATTAAGCTGACATTATTTATAAGAGCATAAAATTGGTTTATATCACGTTTATATACGTACTGGCGTATATATTTAAGTTATGACTTTAAGTAAGCAAGTAATTGATCGGTAATAATTATTTATTTTTATTGTTGTATAGCAAAGATAGAGAATCAATCGATTAATAAATATTACTATACAGATTATACATATACATTATATATAGTATAATATGACATATTATTATTTTACCACTTTATTGTAAGTGCTGTACTCATCTTTTCTACTTCGTGATACTGCGTAGTAAAATATGCGTTAACTTTGTCTGTATTCTCTCCACCCAACCAGGTTTTATACAAATTTTGTACTATTTTATTTTCTTCGGGTTTGCTTAACGGAAGTTTACGATACATATTTTCTAATATTGATGCAAGTTCTCGAGGTTGAATGTTTCCTTCAGGTCTCACTTGTGCTCCACCATTTAAGCAACCTAATAATAATGATTATGTTAAAGTATTTAGTTTTTTGTTATATATATATATATATATATATATGTCATTAATATGTTTTAAATAGAACAATTACCACACGGGCATGCCATAATTTCTACATAATCATAAACGCATTTGCCTCTTTTCATTTTCTGCACTATGTTTTGTATATTTCTGAAGCCATTAATAATAGCAAATTTTAATAACACTTGATCATTTTTCTTTAATTCTGCTTCCTGAAAGTCGGGATTTCTAAGATTTTTAAAATCTACTGTGACATTATCCTCATCAAAAAGATTCTTTGCTGCATAACGAAAAATGAAATCCGCATAACCACCTGATCCTGAGCCACTATGACCCCATAGTCCGTTTCCAATTTCTTTACTATAAGAACCAAATGGTTGTTTAATTTTACCATCATTTATTTCATTTAATGTTAAATTGTCTTCATTCAGCATTTGTTCCAATTCGACTGAAAGATTTAGTAATATAATTTAAATTTTAATAATTCTAAACGATTTATAATACAAAAATATAAAAATAATTGTATATACTTGATGTTATAACACAATCTACATCTCTCGTTTTTCTTTGCTGATCGTAAAAATCTTCTCTGGAAGCTTCCAATTTCTTGTCATAGCAAGGCATTACAGTTACATGATATATTTGTTCTGACAATAGACCCATATTTTCAGCTAAGTGATATTTTACTAATGATCCCATAATTTGTTGAGGGGACTTTGTGATACTTATATGTGGCAATATGAAATTTCCATGAGTTTTCTCGGCGTAACATACCCAACCTATTAAAGAAGTTAAAAATTTATGTTACAAACTTCACAAACTAAATATTTTTATAACAAATATTTATTTTACCTGGACATGAAGAGGACAACATTGGTAACTGATTTTTCATGCCCTCTTTATTGGCTTTATAACGTTCAACAAACTCTTTAGCAGCTTCTAATAAAACAAAGTCATCAGCCACAGTCATATCTAATACCATATCAGCTCCTAATCGATAAAAAAAACCTGCCAGTTTACAGAGAGCTTGCTCAGGAGTAAGTTCATAACGTTGTGACAATGACAACACCGGTTGTACCGATAAACTCACTATTATATATTTAGAATCTGTACTTCCTATATTCTGCAAAAATACAAAAAATGCTACTATTAAAAATAAAATAGATTAAGAAACCATTTCCTAATTTTAAATTGTCTTATTATTAAAGATAAATATCATACTTTTTTGATTTAACAATAAATCACTTGTTAAAGAAAATTCATTAAAAATAATACTGTACATCTCTATCTTCCCTAAGTAGTAAGATGACATCATAATATTTATATATTAGTAATATTTGCTATTTACCTGTTGAGCTATTTTTTTCTGGAATACTCTAAGTAATTCTTCTTGACTCTGTTGAGTAACTAATACACTCTCAGCTGATGTAATACAACCACTGCATGCTAAACAATCTGCAAGTGTGATCTCAACTTTTTGTAATTTTTCTGGTTGTCCAATCTACAATAAGCAATGAAGCAAATTTTAGTGGAATATTTTAAATCTTCTTATTTTAACAAAATGTTGTAGATATTTACTTCATTCTCAAGTGCCAAATGGGTATTATCCGATTGTATTTTTATCTTGGCACCTGTTTTACTTTTATTTGACTGCATTTCTATAGGTTTAATGCATTCCTATAAATATAATTTAAAACAATGCATAGATGTTAAATCATAATGATGAATTTAATTCATGATGATATTGATACCTGTGAAGGAGTGATAAAGTCATCTAGATTTGTAATTTGTAAAGCTCCACTGAATCTTGATGCCATTTCTTCCAAATTTTTAATTTTCTTATGTTCGATTCTTATAGATATTTTTGACTAATTTGTATAAAAAAATTTATATATCAAAATAATCTGTGTGTGCTTTCCTTTTATAAATATGAACTTATATTATTAAATTAAATAAATGCCTTTTTGTTTTTAATAATTCATATTTATATAACACTTTGCTTCCACAATTATTTTTTATGATTATAGTTCCATAAAGTATTATAGTAAATATTATACAATATTAATAATAATATATAATAGTAATATATAAAATATAATATAAAAAGTAATATTAAAAATAGAGGATCTCAGTACTTTCTAATAAATATTAATATTGACATCTAAAATATTAACCTCCTCATCACTTCTGGAACCTGAATCTTTAAATTTAAAAATTTTTCGGAATCTTTTGTAAATAAACGTTCTGTATCCCAATTCGTATATATAAAAAAACTGGAAAAATGCCTATATGATGCAAGAAATACTTTCGTCAAATTATTGCAATATAAATCTGGATTTCGTTGACAGATAATTTATGATCATAACAATATGTACCTTCTGTTACGATGACTCACTGACCTGCGCCTGAGTATTGCAACCATTCCAACGTGTAGAGTAGTCGTGTTAGCATTATTAAGGGCGCGATTTGCTTATAAAATTGCAATAATGACTGAAGTGAGGAAAGACGATGTTGTAAAAATTGTTCATACCTATCCATTTTGCAGAGTGAGTGCTACGCTTCATATTTTATTATAATTTTCAGATGGATTTCGCTGCACGCATAGACACGAATATGACATTTGATCAATAAGAGCAATGTATGCGTTTCGCTGTGCGTTTATTTGCAACAATTCTTATTTAAAATCAAAATTACACATAATTATTAGGTTTTTCATGTATGTTTATCAAGTATCGCATATCACATAATTGGATTAATATGTAATGATTCCTAAAGATTATTTAAAATTTGCAAAAATCTTGTAAAATTATATATAAAATTACTATTGTACAAATCATTCGAATTAAAACTAAATATCTTTATGTATACGCGAATTATTTAAATTTGCGAAATTGTCTTCATAATATATCTATCGACATCTGTTTACAGAAATGTGATATGTCTGATGAAATGAAACAAGAGGCGATGGAATTGTGTGTAACTGCAGCAGAGAAATATGCAGATAATTATGAGAGCGTGTCTCGAATGATCAAGGAAACAATGGATAAGAAATTTGGAGCGTCGTGGCATACTGTCGTTGGAGAAGGCTATGGCTTTGAGATAACTTATCAATTGAAGCATCTTTTATATATGTATTGTGCTGGCAATTTGGCAATATGCATATGGAAATCTGCATAATACATTTTTTATATAATATATTTAATTGTGTGTGTGTGTGTGTGTGTGTGTGTGTGTGTGTGTGTGTGTGTGTGTGTGTGTGTAGTAGTAAT